AATTGCCATTTTGGTGAGTCATTGTTGACTATGATGACATAATCCTGAAGGAGTTGAGGCAGAAAGAAATTGAAATTCACCAACTTAGACCTTTGGGTTTGTAGAGATTGTCTGGGACTGACCTTCCATTGACACTATACTTTAGGATGCATTTCGCATATGCATGATGTCCAATGTGTGTGCTTCAGAGAGAACATGGTGGCTTTATGGGAAAACTCAGAAGAACGGAGATTTGCCAGCACTTGGCAGCCTAAGGAATTCCAAGTGTTTAACAAGTGTAGCAATAGAGAGGGACCACAGAAAGTCTTCCCACTTGGGAGGGCGTATACCTGTTAGGTCTCAGTGAAACAGCTTAACAAATAGGTAGGAATTCTGTAAGATGCAGTTTAAAAAGTTGTAATTTTGGGACTGGAGAGATGGCTCAGAGGTTAAGAGCAATGGCTGTTCTTGCAGAGGTCCTGAGTTCAATTCCCAGCAACCACATGGTGGCTCACAACCACTGTAATGAGATCTGACACCCTCTTTCAGCATGCAGGCAGGACACTGTATACATAATAAATAAATCTTTTTTTTTAAGTTGTAATTTTGTTGTTGTTGTTTTGAGACAGAGTCTCACATAGTTCAGGCTGGCCTCTAACTAGATTGTAGCCAAGGATGACCTTGTGTTCTTGATCCTCCTGCCTCTGCCTCCCATGTGCTGAGAAGACAGGCATGTACCACCATGCCTGGTGTAGACAGTTCTGGGAGTGGAACTCAGGATTCATACATCCTGGTCAAGCACTCCACCAATTGGAGCACATCCTCAGCCCAAAAAGTTGTCAATTTTCAAAGGGGAATGTTTGTTGTTTTTGTTTTTTTGAGACAGGGTTTCTCTGTGAAACAGTCCTGGTTGTCCTGTAACTTGTTCTATAGACCAGGCTGGCCTCAAACTCACAGAGATCCACCTGCCTCTGCCTCCTGAGTGCTGGAATTAAAAGCGTGTGCACCATCGCCCAGCTGTGAATTAATTTTTTTCTGTGTAGAAAATAAGAGTATAGTCTTGATTTGAAACCTTCTCCTAAGCTGTTATACCCACTTATGTATTCCAGTGCCTCCAGAGAAAGTGGAGAAGATAATGGATCAGATTGAGAAGCACATCATGACCCGTCTCTATAAATTTGTGTTCTGCCCTGAGACTACTGATGATGAGAAGAAAGATCTTGCCATTCAAAAGAGGATCAGGTGATTGCCCTGCCTGTCGTATCTGCTATCTAGAATGGAATGATAGCATGTGGGCTTCCAACCTTGAACAGTGCAGCATGGGAGCTTCTCCACCAGGCGTCTATGAACCTGCTTTCCATCTGACTCAGTTGGCTGGAGATGGGACCTGGGTTGGATATTTGAGATTGTTCTAGATCTCTAACATTTTCAAGGACCATGAGGACTTGTTTTCTTGTTTCCTTGTTTTCTCATCAGGAGGGGAACTGTGACTGTCTATCTCAAGGCAATGCATATCATCTGTCCTCCTTTCTATCCTGTTGGGTTGCAATCTCCAGGCAGTCCTGCAGGCACATCTTTGCCAGTCTGAACTGGTGATGATGATTACTGACCCATTCTTAGGGAACCCATGGAGTGACCCCAGACTCTGCAGTGCAGCAGCGGAACACTTACTAACACACCACCTGGAGTAGTTACTTGTCCATTGTTGTGGTAACACCTGACAGAAACAGCTGAAGAGAAGGAATTATTTGGCTTGTGGTTTAGATGGGTATAGTCCATCATGGGGAAGGAAGGCCTGTGACAGGGACAGACAGCTGATGCTCCTTATGACTCTATGGGTCAGGATGCCTCTTCTCTCTTCCTCCTTTAAAAACTTACTTTATGTATACATGTATGTGCCTGAGTATATGTTATGTGTACCATGGAACCCATGGAGGTCAGAAGAAGCATTGGATCTCTGGATCTGGAGTTACAGATGGTTGAGAGTCTCCATGTGGATGCTGGGAACCTAACCCAGGTCCTCTGGAAGTGCTCTTAACCTCTAAGCTGTCTCTTCAGCCCCCTTTCCTTTTTTTTTTTTTTTTTTTTTTTTTTTGACATAGAGTCTCATGTAGTTACCTCCCAAGTTCAAGGAATTACAGGCATTCCCACCATGCTCTTTTCTTCAATTTGAGTCCCCAGCCCATGGATGGCACCACTGAAATTTAGGGTAGATCCTTTCTCCCTAGTTCATCTTTTGTAAAAGCCTTCACTGGAGAGGCCAGAGATGTCCTCTAGAGGATTCTAAATGGAGTCAAGTTAACCAGGAAGGTTAACCATCACAGCACCTAGTGTGTGAACAGTTCCAAGGCTCAGTCATATGGAGTGTCTGGAGGCCCCTGTGTCCTTGACCAAGGAACCTCAAATGAGGTCTCGGGTAAAATGGCCGGGAATTGGATAAGTATGTGAGATGCCATACCAGAAACCAGGAGTTGACACAGGGCAGATGCAAAATAGAGTCCAAGGCCAGGGACTAGAAGTTAGATGGATGTTAGATGAGGGGTAGGTTGAGAGCATTAACCATGCTGATAGAGAACTCAGCAGCAGACACTAGTGTAAAGGCAAGTGAGCCAGGAAGGGACTCAGGCTGTGGAGACATATGCCATCCTCTTCAGGGGCTCTCATGTGTCTTAGACATAAAGATAGGGTGTAACGCTGCAGGACCAGCTGGGGACTGTGAGGACAGTAAGCAGCAGATCCTCAGCTTTCGTGACAGAATCTCCTTTGAGCCAGGAGACTGCCCTCTGTCCTCTGTCCGGTGCAGAAGCAGCATGGCATTTTAGGGTCTTACTTTGTCATGTCAGCTAAGCTTCTTACACGGTCAAGAGTCGTGTGCTTGCTGGGCAGTGGTGGCGCACGCCTTTAATCCCAGCACTCAGGAGGCAGGGACAAGTGGATCTCTGTGAGTTCGAGGCCAGCCTGGTCTACAGAGTGAGTTCCAGAACAGGCTCCAAAGCTACAGAGAGAAACCCTGTCTCGAAACCCCCCCTCCCAAAAAAAAACCAACAACAACAAAAAAAACGTATTATGTTTGAACTTGGGATTGCCTGATACGTCAGCGGTGCCCATTTTCCTTTGACTGAAGGAAACAACAAGGTTAGAATCCACCTTCTGTTCTTGGGCCTCTTTCTGACTACCCCTCTCTCTGCAGGGCTCTGCACTGGGTGACACCTCAGATGCTCTGTGTCCCCGTCAATGAGGAAATCCCGGAAGTGTCTGACATGGTGGTGAAAGCGATCACAGGTCAGTAGGGCTGAGAGCTGTACGTCTGGGTGTTCTCCATAGGTTAACACGGTGCTGCAGTATTAACCCATAGAAAAGCCCTTAAAGTCTATCCTCCCTTCCATCCTCCCTTCCATCCCTCTTTCTTACTTTTGTTCATTCATTGAAGACAGGATCTCATTATGTAACCCTGGCTAGCCCAGAACTTACTATGATAGACCAGGCTGGCTTCAGACTCAGAGATCTGCCTGTCTTTGCCACCTGAGTGCTGGGGCGCCACACACTATAGCAGGAAACCTCCTTTCCCCTTCTTGTTTTGTGACCGAGTTCTTTCTTACTGGAACTGCTTTTGATATTTTAAAAAATGATTTATTTATTTTTACTTTCTGTGCATTGGTGTTTTGCCTGGATGTGTGTCTGTGTGACTGGAGTTATAGACAATTGTGAGGTGCCATGTGGGTGCTGGGAATTGAACCCAGGTCCTCTGGGAGAGCAGCCAGTGCTCTTAACTGCTGAGCCATCTCTTCAGCCCCGTGATTTTGATATATATTTTTAAAGTAGCATACATCTATTTATTTATTTTTTGTTTGTTTGTTTTGGGGGGGCAATATACTACATCTGGAGTGTGAGGACAAAGGATAACTTGTGTGAGTCAATTCTCCTTCCACAATGTGTGCCACAGGGATCAAACTCAGGCTGTCAGGAGTGGCAGCAAGTACTTTCACGTGCCATCCCATCCTGCTGGCCCAAAGTCTCATTATTTGGTCATGGAACTAAACTGAAGTCAAATACAGCTAGACATGACAATGGCTGCTACTCTTCTCCACTCAAGTCCACTCTTCTGGCTTTTGTGTCTAAGAAAGAGCTTGTTAGTAGCCATAGCCCTGAAAAGCAATGTGCGCAACAAAGACGTTCTAGACTGAGTTTAAAGGTACCCAGGAGAGGCTGGGGATGGGCCTCAGTATGTTAGGACAGGCTGGGGATGGGGCTTAGTTGACGAAGCCCGGTGTTCCGTCCAGTACTGCATTAACTGGGTGTGGTGGTGCACACCCATCATCCCAGCATGTGGGAGGTAGTGGTAAAAGGACCAGGTGGAGGTTATCCTTGCTACATAGAGAACTCCGGGCCAGCCTGGGATGAAAATATAAGCCCCCGTTACAAAATAAAAGCAAAAAAATCAAACAAAAAGAAACAGTGGAACACTTTTTTAGAGCCTTGTTTTGCTTCCCCATGGAGCTCAGGGGTGCTTTCCCACAGGCTTTTTGGGCACACTTGTGTCATTCCCACTGGGCCTTCTGCTCCCTGCGTGATCTTGGACTCTCTGACACCGACCCAGTTTGAGGTGGAGGTCTAAGGGTGGCGTGCCTGGTTCATGCTGTGTGTTCTGTGGATAGGAATTTGTCTTTACTGCTCTGGGATCTAAGCTCCTCCTCTACTAAGTTAACTGCTGGGCAGTGAGGCACCTCTGAATCCCAGTGCTGTCCTCCCCTTTAAGATAAAAACGGTCTCACTGTATAGCTCTGCTGAAGCATCTCGTGCTCGGGTGGCAGGTGTGCACCACCTTGCCTGGCCAGTTGCTTCTTGGGTGGTAACTGCCTCACGGTGGCACTGTCCCTCTGCTTCACAGACATCATTGAGATGGACTCAAAGCGTGTGCCTCGGGACAAGCTAGCCTGCATCACCAGGTGCAGCAAACACATCTTCAACGCCATCAAGATCACCAAGAATGAGCCAGCCTCTGCCGACGACTTCTTGCCCACCCTCATCTACATCGTCCTGAAGGGCAACCCCCCTCGCCTGCAGTCCAATATCCAGTACATCACTCGCTTCTGCAATCCCAGCAGGCTTATGACGGGTGAAGATGGCTACTACTTCACCAACCTGGTAAGATTTGACTCCTGAAGGCAGGGAGAAGACCCAGGAGGGGATTTGCCTGAGGGATGTGACCCGGTCCTGTGACAGCTTAGAGCTCCTGGGGATGCATGTCTGTCGGAGGGGAGGTGACCAGTCTACACACTTTGTTCTCTCTCCCTGCACTTGTCCAGAAGTGCACCATTACTCAGAGCAGATCCTCTCCTGAGGAGTTGAGGTCTGAGGAGAGCGTGCTGCCTGGCTCCTGTGTGGCATCCGCATCACTGCGGCCCCGTGTGATCTGCTGCAAGGAGGAGTCACCTGCTTCTGGTGCTGCTGACTTCCTGGGGGAGGTTCAGCACTGCCACTGACATGAATAGGGGAGACTGGGACAGGAAAGCTCACTAGACCTGGAAGCTGTTTGGTTTTGAATAAATGTTCCCCATGTAATCAATAACCTGAGCTCTGGGTGAGTTGCAGGCAGGCAGCACAGACAGACCTGTGAATGCTTGTAGGTGGGGACAGCTGGGACTAAGGAGACAGAGCTGGGAGAGACAAGAGAGAGGACAGAATCTGTTGAGCTGTGGAACTGTGAAGCCACTGGACCAAAGAAATTCCTGAACAGAGGGAAAATCAAATGTCCAGAAAACTGGGCATGTTAGCACATGCCAGCAGCTGAGAAGATGAGGTGGATAGATATAAGCTCTAGTTACATAGTGAGATCCTGTCTTAAAAAGAGAACAACCCGGGCCTGGTAGCCCATGCCTATAATCCTGAGGATCCAGGAGATTAGGAACTCAAGATCATTCATGGCCATATAGTGAGTTTAGGGCTAGCCTGGGCTAGCAGCTGTCTCAAAGATCAAGAAAGAGCTGTGGCAGGGTACTTACCTAGCCTGCATGAGGCCCTGGCTTCAATCCCCAATACTTGGGGTGGGAAATGATTTTAAAATCTGCTGATCTGCCTTGACTGCCACACTGTTCTCTTTCTTCTGTAGTGCTGCGCTGTGGCTTTCATTGAGAAATTGGATGCTCAGTCGTTGAATTTAAGTCAGGAGGATTTTGACCGATACATGTCCGGCCAGACTTCCCCAAGGAAGCAGGAGTCTGAGAGTTGGTCCCCCGAAGCCTGCTTAGGTGTGAAGCAAATGTATAAGAACTTGGACCTCCTGTCTCAGTTGAATGAACGGCAGGAAAGGATCATGAATGAAGCCAAGAAACTTGAAAAAGACTTAATAGACTGGACAGACGGAATTGCCAAGGAAGTTCAAGACATTGTTGAGAAATACCCACTTGAGATTAAGCCCCCAAACCAACCCTTAGCAGCCATTGACTCTGAAAACGTGGAGAACGACAAGCTCCCGCCCCCACTGCAGCCGCAGGTGTACGCAGGGTGATGTCTTGCTCATGGCCATATTTACTTGGGGCTGAGTTCAGGGAGCTGCTGCGTTCCACTGTTCAGGTCTGGAATACGAAGTAACTGCTTAAGTCATCCAAGTATTTTTAAGGTACAGTTTTAGGAATTGTTTTGTTTATTTTCTTTTTTCTTTTTCCTTTTTGTTAGCAGGGGAAGCTAGTAAATAATAATGCACTATTTATTTGAGTTGGTGAAGTAGGGTTGTGTGAATTCTGTTTCAATCTTTTATGTCCTCCCTGATTTTCCCATGGGCTTCCTCTGTGGTAGACACTGTTGTTGGTTTGGGGCAAATATGCCTTTAAAAGGATAAAACAGATACTACAAAGTCTATGTTGAAATGAATCCGATATTCCCACACTCTCCCAGTGTGAAGTAATTTTGTAATTGTAAAGATAGAAGATATGTTAATAAGTAAATATGTAAAATTGTAAATATGTAAAAAAAATAGGGCTGGGGGAGGGATGGTGTCCGCGTGCATGGCATTTCACATGCTGTTTGGGTTTTTTAGGTGAAAATGAAATATATTGAATGTTTGCCTTTAGCACCATTTTATTTGTTTTGTCCCACTAAAAATAATCAAAAATTTTGGGCTTTCACCTTTAACATTACATTCGCACTAACTGCCCTAACTCTGAGGTCCTTTCGGGTACATGGTATGAAGTTGTGACACCAACTTCTAGGTCACATGAGGTGTTGTTCTGGGCCCCTGGGAAGGTGGCTCAGTTTGTAAGTGCTTTCCACACTGGGGTGAGGATCTGCACTCGGTGTCCAGCACCGTGTCAGAAGCTCAGCGTGGTGACAGGCACTTGTAATGGCACTGCTGGGAGGCAGTGGCGGGCAGGGACCTGGTCCGTGACTAGCAAGCTTTGCCTCACCTCACCAGGGAGAGACCCTGGCCAAACCCTAAATCTGGACAGACGGCTCCTGAGAAATGGCACCCAAGACTGACCTCTGGCCTCCACATGCCCACATATGTGCCTGCGTACCTGTGTACGCATGTGAACCACACACACATGAACACGTCACAGAGTTGCTGGTTAGTATGGTTGACTCTGAACCGTGCTTCTAGCTTCCTCTCCCTTAATCATCCAACAAACTGCCCCACCTGTCGCGGGGCTTGTTGCTTTTCTGTTTTGTTTTTGCCCCTTGGGTTGTTTTTGTTTTTTAGGGTTTTTGTTTGGTTTGTTTTGTTTTTGAGACAGGCTGTTGCTATATAACCCAGGCTGGCCTCAAACTTCTGATCCTCCTACCTCAGCCTCCCAATGGTGGGACTTATGGGTATGTACCACCACACTCAGCTCATTCAGACACGACATCACTGAGTTCTGTGATGCAGAGACTTGGTTTTGGATGCAAGTTGGAATGAGTGAATGAGGCTTATGGGGGTTGACAGGGAACTTCAAGCAAGAGGGTGCCTTGCAGCCTCCGGTCTCCTTTATCAACAGGTAACAGTCAACAGATTAAGTAAGCCTTTCAGAACTGACATTAGTGGACTGAGAATCCTGTTGCTGTGTATATTGTGGGATAGTTGAGTAGCATTCCTGCTTTCTGTACCCAGTAGATGCCAGCAGCCCCCTGTGTTTGTGGGATAATGGTCTCCATTCCTGGGGTGACACAGATGCACAATCCTGGTACTCAGGAGGTAGAGGCAGAAGGATCAGGAGTTCAGGTCATCCTTATACACATAGTGAGTTTGAGGCAAGCCTGGGCTGTGGCTATCCTGTCTCAAAGAAAGAAAGAAAAATTAAACTTGTCTCTGGACATTATTAAATGTCTCCTGGGGGACAGAGCTAGCTAGCTCTTGCTTAGAATCACTGGTCTCTTGCAAGCAAGGGGTTTGTGCTCCTGCTAGTTAATATGCTATAACCAAAGAATATTGCGTTGATTATATAGTCTAATGCTACTTTTTGATGTCTCCCTCAGAGAGGCCCTGCAGTGAGGACCCTTCTCTAATCCTTGTGAAACTTTTTATACCATGATTATATCATGGATGGATGACTCTTCTACATGGTTATCAGCACCCTTGTGAAATTAGGAATTCTTCAGGACACCATTCTTGAACAGTGTCATGGCATTCGAGCAGCTGAGAAAGGCTTTCTTCCTTTCTCAACATATTTTCCTAAATGTTTACTACAAAAATGTAGTATAATAATTTTGGAATAAAACTAGGGCAAATATATAACTTAAAAATATTTAGTTTATTTTTAATTATGTGTATGTCTCTGTGTGCATGTGCGTGTGAGTACAGGTACCTATGGGGGACAGAAGAGGGCATCAGATCCCCTGGACCTAGAGTTACAGGCAGTTAGTAGTAAGCCACCTAATAGAGTTGCTGAGAATCAAACTCAGGTTCTCTGCAAGAACAGTATGTGCTGTTAACCATTGAGCCATCTCACCAGAGTGAAATATAAAACTTCAATGCTTTATTTAAGCTGGTATTAAATATACCAAATTTGACACATTTGACTCTTACTAAAGTCATAAGACAGCTGAATCAGCTGTCCCCAATTACAGCCAGAAGGCAGTGAATTACACTTAGATGCAGTGAAGGGACTGAGGAGATGGCCTGATGCAAGCATGAGGCCCTGAGTTTAATTCTGAGAACCTGTGTTAAAAGCCTGGCTTAGTGGCATATCCTTGTAATCCCAGCTCTGAGGAAGTGGAGACAGGAAGATCCCTGGACTCATGGGCCAGCCAGCCTAGTCTCCTGGGGGGAGTTCCAGGCCAATGAGAGATACTGTCTGTCTTCAAAAAACAAGGTGGGTAGCATTTCAGAGGAACTAAATTCAAGGTTGATCTCTGACTTACACACACACATAACCAGTTGGGATCTTCACTCACAGTAACGTGGGCCCAGGTGATTTCAGTGGCTAGCACACTTTCCTTTTCTTTTTCTCTACTTTCTAGGTGCTAATCCAGGCCCACATAGTCTAAATTTTCCTGGAAACATCCAGTTCTTTTAGGTGTACATTATTAAATAGAATAATCATATCAAAGCTGGTGGGGTAGAAACAGAAGGATCAAGAGTTCAAGGTCAATTTGATCCCCGGCACTGTATAAACAAACAGAAAAATAGTTCAGAGTCAGCCTTGGCTATATTAGGATTTCATGGCCAACCTAGGCTATAACACCTTGTATCAAAAAACCAAAATAAGTACCCCTCAGCCTCTCACAAAAGCTGACTGCTGTGTTTCTTGCAGGTTGCTCACTGAATTTCTGTGGATATGTCATGTTGGTCCAGTGCTTGAGATAATGGTCTCATGCCTCAGGTAGAGGCTTACATTTCTCTTTAGTCAGCATCACAACAGTGGCCAGAGATTCTGTTTTCTGAACGTGAAAGTGTGGTATTTATGTATTGTCAATGTGATTTGAATCAAGTGTTGGGAAAGATGTCCATATCAATAAAAGTTTCATGATCCATCCTTCTTCCAAGTAGACTGATGTTTGGGTCCTTACTAGAAGAATTCACATAATTACTAATATTTTTTGTTGCTGTAATAAAGGTTGGGAGGGTTCAAAGAAAGTGACTGACGACTGTATTAGTGTTGTGTTGCTGTGACAGAAGACGCACTGTGACATCTCATGGGGAGAGGAAGGTGATCCTGGTTTCAGGCAGTCTCAGTCTATCGCGGTAACTGGAGCACACACAGTGAGACTCCTTACATGCTGGCAGACCAGGAAGCAGCAGCTGGAATGCTCGGTGCTGCCCGATCATCCAAAGCTGCCTCTTACTGACCCACTTCTGCAAGGGGAACCCCCATCACCGAGAGGCTCCACCGTCTCTTAAACCATCAGCATGAGCCGGGGAGCAAGTGGCCACATCTCAGCCTGTGCGGACATTTCACACTGCTCTTATTTCCACTTCACACCTCTGCAGGAACCAAAGACTTCCTTTCCTCTCTACACCCGGCTGCATATGACTAGAACTACTCGAGCACTTTGGGGGGTCTAGATAGGCATCCTGGAGAGGTACACCGCACAGAGCAGCCCCCAAATCATGACATGGAGACTTTTTATTAGTTATGAATGCTTGGCCTTAGTTTAGGCTTGTCCCACTAGCTCTTACAACTTATAGTAACATGTTTCTCTTCATCTACATTTTGCCTCAGGGCTTTTTACCTTTTATTCTGTATGTCCTACTTTCCTGCTTCCTCCGTGGCTGGCTGACTGGCTAGCTGGCCCCAGGCATCTGTCTCTTTCTTCCTCATTCTCGCTGAAGCCTAGATTTCTGCTCCTACTTACTCTCTCTGCCTGCCAGCCCTGCCTATCCCTCTACTGCCTAGCTATTGGCTGTTCAGTTTTTAGTAGACCAATCAGGTGCCTTAGGCAGGCAAGGTGAAACAGCAACACATCTTTTTTTTTTTTTTTTTTTGGTTTTTCGAGACAGGGTTTCTCTGCGTAGTTTTGCGCCTTTCCTGGAGCTCACTTGGTAGCCCAGGCTGGCCTCGAACTCACAGAGATCCGCCTGGCTCTGCCTCCCGAGTGCTGGGATTAAAGGCGTGCGCCACCACCGCCCGGCTAACACATCTTTACATAGTTAAATGCAGCGTAAACAAAAGCAACACATCTTTACATAGTTAAAACAATTACTCTGCAACACAAACAAATGTAACACATCTTTACTTAAACAAATATTCTATTCCACAACAGTATACCAACTCCATAATAGCAATTAGGGTTACCTCTTCAGAAAGGGGGATGTGAAGAAAACAGGAGGTAAGATTTGACTAGACAATTTATAGCAAAAAAAATCCCAAAGCAACCAGTTTCTTGAATAAAAGCCAGATGCCCTTGGCATCAGCATCCTTACCAGGGGCCAGAAATGCCAAAGGTGTTTGGAGAGTCTGGTTTCTTATCTGGTTTGTTATTTATTTGGGTTTTCAAGATAGTTTCTCTGTGTAATAGTACTAGCTGTCCTGGTACTCGCTCTGTAGACCAGGCTGGCCTGGAACTCACTGAGATCCGCTGCTTCTGCCTCCCCAAGTGCTGGAATTAAAGGTGTACACCACCACCACCCGGCCTGGTTCTTTATAAAAATGATTTATTTGTTTTTTACTTTGGGTGCATTGGTGTTTTGCCTGCATGTATGTCTGTGTGAGGGTGTCTGATGCCTGGAGATAGAGTTACAGGCAGTTTGTAAGCTGCCATGTGGGTGCTGGGATTGAACCCAGGTCCTCTGGAAGACTAGCCAGTGCTCTTAAATGCCAAACCATCTCGCCAGCCCCTCTGATCTGGCTCTTAAATGTTTCTAGGGTTATGTTGTTAACATTCCTTGGGAGAATGAGGTTAGCTGTGTCTACCTCTAAGGTCTCTGACTAACTGCCAAGGTTTCTGACTAACCAAAGCACGATTCCCCCCAAGTTCAGTATTGTCATGGAATGTATAGGGCTTCCTTACAGAGAGCATTGGTGAGGGGTTACTTACAAGGTGTGGGCACTCCTCACCTTACGAAACACACCTGGAAAGCCTTACCCAGTAGGGACAAGGGCTTCCATAACCAAATAAATAATGCTCACTCCACCCCCACTCCACCCAGCGCCTCTAGTGGGGACCTGAGAAAGCCCTGAGTGGATGTATAAATAGCAGATAAAGTCCTGAGTGAATGTGTATGTGGGCATGACCATATCAAGGATCAGAGCCTCAGGCCCATGGGGATTTGGCAAAGCCTTCCCTGGGGTGAGGCTCAGAGGGATGATGGCAAAGCCTTCCTCTGGAGTGTGACTGTGGACAGTGTGTGCAAATATGAATACTGAGGAAGGACTGAGGAGTGTGTGCAAAATGCTCATGGCAACTGCAGCTTCCTGCCCCAGATGTTTTACAGCCTGAGACTGTTCCACTACAGACACTGGAGATTCGCTAATGCCTCCTCCTGTTCTGTGTGTCGTAACACACGCACTGAGGTTCTGGGTTGTTTCTGTAGCCAGTGCCACTTCACAGAGTGCCCAGTGTATGTGTCTAGCCTTCCCCTTCCCTGGTTGCTCCTAGTCAGGTCAAGTCCTAGCTGAGCTGCATGCTGCACTCTCTGTTCTTCCCGGGTTGTGTGTGTGTGTTTGTGTACGTGTACACTCCAGCCCTTCCCCCAGGCCTATGCAGAGTTGCCAGTTGGTAGGGAGCAGTCGGATACTTAGGAGTGAGCTGTAAACTCTCACAGGCCGTCTGGGGTGCTATTTTGCAAGGGGGCATGCTGAATTCTCAAAGATGACAGTTGCTTGGCTCAGAGGCTAGTCACTCACAACAGGTGAGCTCTTCAAAGGAGGATGTTAAAATCGTAGGTAGGTAAGGCTTGTTAAGAGAAAACTCTTTCTGGTCTAAGGAACTGAGTCTCCAGCCTGCGTGGAGCCCTAACATTCCAGCTGGGCTCAGTCAGTTGCCTGGCCAAGGGACCAGGGACCCCAAGGGACCAGGGACCCCTCAGAAGGCAGGCTTACCTTATACCATGCTAAAGAGAGAGGGGGAGCCAGGTGATGGTGGCACATGCCTTTAATCCCAGCAGGTAGAAGCAGCTAGCCTGGTCTACAGAGTAAGTTCCAGGACAGCCAGGACTACACAAAGAAACCCTTTTTTCAAAACGAGAGAGAGAGAGAGAGAGAGAGAGAGAGAGAGAGAGAGAGAGAGAGAGAGAGAGAATGAATTAATTCCTTGTCTTAGGGCCCTCTTCTAGAGGCTCAATAAAATCACTCTCACCAAATGACCCCAGCCACTTACCATAATAATAATTTACTGTTTATAAACCTTAAAAAGACTGCATATCCTGGCCAGGTTAAAGGAAAAAATGTATAATGGGGGAATTGTGAGGTTTTTGTTGTTTTGTTTTTTCCCTATCAAAAGTTACTTAGCTTGCTTAAGGCTGTATTCCATACACCTTCCTGGGTTTTGTTGGTTTGTTTTGTGTTTTTGAGACAGGGTCTTTCTACATAGCCTTGGCTGTCCTGAAACTCACTATATAGTGAGATCCACCTGCCTTTGCCTCCTGACTGCTGGGATTAAAGGCTTGTGCTGTCATGCCCAACTCATAAGCCATTTTGGGACAGGCCTGTTTGCCCTGCCCCTAGGCGATCCTGAGACTTGACTATCACACCCACCCCCTTCCAATATGTCACACTGTGAGGTCAAGCTCCCAGCGATGGGATGAGACACAGTAACTGCCTTATGGGGAACAGAGGAAACCCTCAGTGAATGTGTGTTGTTGATACAGGCATAACCATGCCAACAACCCTAGCCCCAGACCCCAGGGGAACCTTCCTTCTTGTCCACATGAGTTGATAGACATACAGAAAATGTTCATCATAACCTGCCCTGTCCTATATTACAGCCTGAAGACTGCTCTGCCTACAGGCTTTTCGTACTGAGATCAGCTAAACCTGTCTCCTCTGTCCAGCTGCATCCCATAAATCCTACCTCCTTGTTTATCTGCGTGTAATAGCCCCGCCTCCCTGATCAGCTGTATGCAATAACCCCGCCTCCCCGATCAGCTGTATGCAATAACCCCGCCTCCCCCATCAGCTGTATGCAATAACCCCGCCTCCCCGATCAGCTGTATGCAATAACCCCACCTCCCCCATCAACTGTATGCAATAACCCTGCCTCCTCCATCAGCTGTATGTAATAACCCCGCCTCCCCCATCAGCTGTATGCAATAACCCCGCCTCCCCCACCAGCTGTATGCAATAACCCCGCCTCCCCCATCAGCTGTATGCAATAACCCCGCCTCCCCGATCAGCTGTATGCAATAACCCTGCCTCCCTTTGACTATATCATAAACACATGGCACTTCCTGGGTACCGCAGTTTCTCCACTACGTGGTTTCTGTCCCTGTGTCCATCTGTTTGTCAAAAGTAACACTCAGGAATGTCTCGGGGTTGCAAACATCACTATCCTCTAAGCTGCCCCCAGGTCAGATAAGTCCACGGAGCTGGGCAAGGAAGCTGCATGGCCTGCAATAGAATCAGAAGGAAGCGAACTTTCCGCCCTGGTGTGCTTGCTAGTCTGGTTTAAGGTCATGGGATATACCCTTTTTACAAAAGCAAGTTTCCTTGCGGGGTTACTTTCACTTTGTGTTCTTTGTGTGACACTGAGATCAGTTCCTCCAACAAGATGGGGCTTATCTTAGATTTCAAGTCCATCCGGGGAGTGCTCAGATCCTCTCCCTTAGGAGAGATGTGGCCCACGGCCCTGTTGCATTGGCCCACAGGGGCTCAGGGGAATGACACTCTTTTGAATTGGCAATGAACCTAGGATAGGAAGTTTTTCCACAAAGCAGAAAATACCAAGGTATCCAAGAATATCCCATGTACAGATCCAGGTTTGAAAAAAAAAAAAAATGCCGAATGGCAAAGTACTCTATGGTGGTTGGGTTTTTCTGGAGGTTGGATGAGGGTGGAAGGTGTTGACCCATAGTTCCACAGGTATCCCTGGTGACGTCATAAGCTTTCTGGCAGTTCTGATTGGGGAATTGTACTAACCTGCCTGTTTCTAAAAGTACTTGACATAGGACACCACCCTGAGAGGGAATCAGTCAGAAATGGACGAAGCATTTGAATTCAGAGTGTAAAGAACCTCCCCAAGGGGGAGTCGAATCTATTGGATTCACGAAACCCCTTCCTTAGGTGTGACTGACAGCCCTGGCTGAGAGAGAAACACATTCTGCACCTAAGAGCGCCCCAACCCTTGGCATGCTCAGGACAGGAGGAAACAGCCCTGCAGCGGGCTTTCCAGCTCAAGGAAGATGGAGCGTGCTAGATCTTAAGGCTTTTCTGTTTCTATGTTTTGTAGCCTCATCTGTGAAGGAAACTCACCCGGTGTCCGAGAGTGCGCTGACCTTTGACACTCGAAGGACAGAAGGAAATGATCTTTACAACAGATAGCACCAACTTGAAGATCTATTTCTTAAGATGTACGGGCTTGTTCTGTTCCCATAGGCTTTTCTTCCTGTACTTCCTCGTCTTTGTTCTTCCTGATAATAATCAAGTAAAACATTTGATTTCCTTCTAAACATGGCTCAATGACTAGAGTGTCTTTGTATGCAATTGCCTCTAATAAAAGCACAGCACTGGAGACAGTCTGGGTCCCTAGAGAGTCTCCCATGAGCCACCGTGCTTGGCTTGGCTGGGTCCTAATTCTGTTCCTTCAGTCCACAGTCTCCAAACTAGTTTTTCTTTTAGGTAGAATATTCCTTCTTTCTTCTTCTTCCTCCTTCTTGTTTCGTTTCGTTTTCTTTCTCTTTTTCCTTTTTTCTTTCTTTCTTTCTTTCTTTCTTTCTTTCTTTCTTTCTTTCTTTCTTTCTTTCTTTCTTTCTCTCTTTCTTTCTCTCTTTCTTTCTTTCTTTCTTTCTTTTTTTTGGTTTGTTTTTCGAGACAGGATTTCTCTGTGTAGTTTTGGTGCCTTTCCTGGATCTCACTCTGTAGACCAGGCTGGTCTCAAACTCACAGAGATCCACTTGGCTCTGCCTCCCAAGTGCTGGGATTAAAGGTGTGCGCCACCACCCCTGGCTTCTTTCCTCTTCAGACTCCTTTTGTTCTATGCTTGTTATCTGGCCCCAGTGCCCCACTCCTGGTTTCCCTGTACCCTGAGTACTCTTGCTTTTGTTTCTAGTTTCCAGTTACAGTGACATAGACAGGCGACAGAAGAAGAACAGGCTGGTCTCATCTCATCCCATTTCTTTAAAAGCTGTTTTTTGCTTTCTATATTTGTCTAAGTTACTGTTCTATTGCTGTGAAGAGACATTGTGACTGGGGCAACTCTTATTAAAGGAAGAATTTTAACTGGGAGCTTGCTTACAGGCCAGTTTCAGAGGGTTAGTCCATGATCACCATGGTGGGAAGCAGACAGGCATGGCACTGGAACAGTAGCTAAGAGCTTTACATCCTGATCTACAGGCAGCAGGTAGAGAGAGATGATACCGGGCCTGGTGTGAAGGCAGAAGTTTCTGTCCTGCCAGAAACTCCCAGATACCCAGCAGCCGCTCCCCAAATTACCACACAGAGGCTCATATCAATTACAAAGGCTCAGTCATTAGTCCAGGATTATTACTAACTAACTCTTACACTTAAATTAACCCATAATTCTTATCTATGTTCAGCCATGTGGCTTGGTACCTTTTCTCAGTACAACATTCTCATCTTGCTTCCTCGGTGTTTGGCTGGTGACTGTCTGATTCTGCCCTCCTTCTTCTATCATTCTCAAGTTTGGCTTTCCTGCCTAACTTCCTGCCTAGCTACTGGCCAATCATTTTATTAAACCAATTCGAGTGACAAATATTTACAGTGTACAAGAGGATTATTCCACAGTGCTGGTGTGGACTTTTAAAATCTCAAAACATACCCCAGTGACACACCCATGCCAACAAGGCATACCTCCTAATTCTTCCCAAACAGTTCCTTTAACTGGGGACCAAGTATTCAAACATATTGGGCCTATGGGGGTCATTTTCATTCATTTAATTTCATTCAAACCACTACAAAATTTGCTGGATTATAGGCACCAAATTAAAAAAAATAACAGTTCTGTTGACTATCAGTCCATGGAGGGGATACAGAGGACCCTCTGTCTAAAATAACTCCCAATAGCTACTCCAGCCTCAGTTTTTTTGTTCGTTTTGTTTTTGGTTTTTCGAGACAGGGTTTCTCTGTGTAGCTTTGCGCCTTTCCTGGAACTCACTAGGTAGCCCAGACTGGCCTTGAACCCACAGAGATCCACCTGGCTCTGCCTCCCGAGTGCTGGGATTAAAGGCATGTGCCACCACCCGGCTGATACTAAATCTTTTTAAGTGTGTGGAAGTTTTGTCTGCATGTATGTCTGTGCACCGCATACATGCAGTACCTGTTGAGGCCAGAAGAGCGCATTGCCCCGCCCAGCTGGAGTTACAGATGGTTGTCATTGCCTTATGAATACTAGGAATCCAACCTGGGTCTCCTGAAAGAGCAGCCAGTGCTCTTAACTGCTCAGCCATCTCTCCAACCCTGATATTAAAACTCTTAAGATTTAAAGTTTAATACATTGATAGCAAACCTCTGCTTATATCAATGGAGTTATTGGTTTGCTCTTTCTGATAATTGCAAAGACTGGCTTAAAGGACAAAAACATATAATACAAATTTTTAAAGTGTTTGTTTTTTGTCCAAGCATTATCTAAATATTATACAGCAGTTAAAAGTACAAGACTGTGGGTGTGGTGGTGCACGCCTTTAATCCCAGAACTTTGGAGGCAGAGGCAGGTGGATCTTTGAGTTTGAGACCAGCATGGCTTACATATTGGGTTTTAGCCAGCCATGGCTATACAGCAAGATTTTTTCTTTCTTTTCTTTTTTTTTTCTCTCTCTCTTTTTCTTTCCTCCATTCCTCCCTTCCTCCCTCCTTCCCTCCTTCCCTCCCTCCCTTCCTTTTTCCTTCCTTCCTTCCTTCCTTCCTTCCTTCC